TGTTGCCCCTATACCAGGGGCAACTTTAATAAAAATAATTAAAATAATTACAACTTTACAAAAAGAGAGAAGTTGCCGATCTTGCCCCTATACCCGGGGCAACTTCGTCAATTTCTCTCTTCTTGTAAAGTTGTAATTATTTTAATTATTTTTATTTCCAAACTGATTTTAACCAGTTCTATAGTAAGGTACCATTCCAATAGACAATATGCAAAGCTTTTTTTCAGTTTACAGCAGTATTTATTACACAAAATTTAAGTAAAGCTTAACATGCCGATCTTGCCCCGGTCTCCCCTACATTCATTTCCACCTAGTAGACCGCGAGCCCTTGATATCAAAAACTTTTCTAGCTAAAATCGAAACCTTTTTAATTATTAATTATGGATAATCAACTAAAATTATGTTAAAAAATAACTAATTTAGATAAATTTATAATAACATTCTCTAACAATAGAATTAAATCAATATAAACAACTAATTTCCTTATCGAGATTTTAATTTTAATTAAAAAAAAAACAAATAGTAAAAATTGAAGTAAAATAATGAATAAAATAATAAAAGTAAATGTAAAACCCACTAAACCTGACTTTTTTTCCCTCGTTACTAGAGAGGGAGAAACCTCCTTTCACGAACGATTGAACACCATTAAACTAACATATAATAGGGGTGAAAAGTAATTTAAAGCCAAAAATCTTCGCCCACCCTCATTATTAGCCAACAGAAAACTTTTATTTTTGGATAATTTCCAAATGAGTAATCACTCTTTCACATAATCTACAAAGGATTTACGAGTTTAGTATAGGATCAGATAGGCTATTATTGAACAAGTGTCGTTTTTTAAAACGCAATTTAAAAGTTTCACCCCTTAAAAACCGTCAATAATTAATTTAAAAATAAAAAAATATATATATATCATTTAAATTCTAAAAAAATCCATCGTCATATTAATGTTATTAATATAAAAAATATTTTATAAAGTTTTGAAGTTTATCATCTTCAAAACTTTACTTTCGATTTTTCTATTTTATGTTTAATGTTGTCTGTCTGTACCATGTGTTTAGATGTAACCTTTACAGGTAAATCAATGAAAGCTATAGGATATATTCCCTGTAGGAAACACAAGAATCTACAAAAGTTTAGGATGGATAAGTTCCTAATATTTATCTCTTTCGTGGTTCTGTTTATAGTAAACAATCAAGAGTTTGATTGAACATTGAACATATTCGCAATAAGCGTAGAAAATTATTAATAATTTGTTTAATTTTTTTTTAAAATAATATTGATAGAAATGAAATTAATTTTGCGTTAGTTTTGCATGTTTTCTATATTCTAGAGCTATTATAAATTTTTATCTAGATAAAATTATCTATATAATTCCCAAAAATATGAGTGAAATATAAGAATATTTTTGAATATAATTAAATTTTTTAACAGAATTAAGGTAAATAAAATTGATTTTATGTTAGTTTTGCATGTTTTCTATATTGTAGAACTATCAGAAAATTTTTCCAGATAAAATTATCTATAAAGAACAAAAATATAAAAGAAATGTAAGAATATCTATGAATTTAATTAAATATTTAAACAGAATTAAAAAAAATGAAATTATATTTGCGTTAGTCTTTATGTTTTCTATATTCTAAAATTATAAAACGAAATTTTTATTTAGACACAATTAATCTAAACATGATAAATTTGTAAGAAAAGTAGCAATTGTAAATTATATTCTTTGATTTTGACTAAATTTTTAAACAGAACGAGAAATTAAATACTGCAATTTCTAATCATATTTTAATTTATTTAATTTAAAATATATGATCTCCATTTCAAATTAGTATTGTCTTGCTCCTGTACATCATACTTTTCCTGTTAGCAAGGGAGTTATGCCGGTCATCTATCTGACTCCTTCCAGGGGAAACTTTTTGAATTGAAGCAACGTGACTTCCGGTTTGGAACGGAAGTTCGGATATTGTTTATCAGGGTCTTCTGTCCCTAATCTGTCTAGCATTGTTCTCGAGATAAAGGAAAGACAGACGGACGGACGACAGTGGGAATTTATAGATCTATAATTTTTTTCAAATTGCAGCCCAATTAGAAGAAATAAAAACTATTTTACGTTAGTTTTGAATGTTTTATATATTCTAGAATTATAAAAAATTTCAGAATTTTCTAAAAATAACGTCGAATTATATATATTTAAAATACTTTTTAAAATATTTTATAGGAATTTTTTTAAATTTCAATGTAAAAAATTTCTTCCGTTAGATTATTATAAAATGCTTAAAAATTCAATATTTTAAAATATTTTTAAATAAAAAATTTTTATAATAAAGTTTTTCTTTTTTATTTTAAATTCTCATTTATAATCGTTAAAAGAAGTATGCTCAGTCAACGCGTGCGACGCGATGCGTCGGCGCTTTACTCGAAAATAATAAACTTCATAGTTTAATATAACTTTAAATTGTTCAATACATCAAAATTCAATAATTACAATAATATTTAGCTTAGTTTTTAGTTGATTGGTTTCGTGTTGAACAAATTTTAATTAGTCCAGTTTTAAATATCTCGGCGCCCTGCGGCGCGCGTAAACGCGAAGCGACAGAAGAATAATGTTTATAAATCGACAACATATTTAATTAAAAATAATATCAAGCTTTAAAATAATTGTAGACGTATTGCTCTATTAAAATATTCCAGAAGTCTCAAGGAATGCTAAAATTTACTAGGACAAATATATAATGGCTAGACGTCGCTTCGACGTCGCGCAATTTATTAATAATAATAATAAAACTTGTGTAATGTTTAATTTAAACAATCCCAACTACTCAAACTTTCAATTTTATTAAATATTTTAATTAACTACTATTGTTAAATCGAATTATTTGCATAAATACTATGTTGGAAAGCGACGCGCACGGCGCGCAGTAGAGCCTAGTTCTAATTTGTCTCTTTGATTTTTCAAAGAAAATATAAAAAGTAAAATATGTAAATGCGGAAAACTGGTATAAAAATTAATGCTTTTCATAAACTGACAGACATTATAAAAATAAATGTGAATTTTTTATTTTATAGTTATTGTTGATAGTGTAAACGGATCAAATGCAGTAACAAAGATGTCAGATAAAACATTTATTATTGTAATTAATTAACCTTATCTGATAAAAATAAAGAAGTTAATTATCATTATTTTCACCTGTCAATCTTTTATTACAATTCAACGGTGGATAAAAGCAATTACTAATTTTCTGCATCTGCCGCTTCCATTCTAACTGTAAAAATTTATCTAAGAATATTCGCTTGAATATTTTTCCAAATATTCTTGAATTATACATTAAAAATTAAAAAAATTGCTTTGTAAAACCATCAATTTGCAGTTAAAACTATCCAAAGTATTCCCATGTGTTACGTGGTAAATTTTGATTTTGAATCATGAAGATAGTTCAAAATCATGGTGGGATCCCTCCATCTTCATGGTGAGAGCTACTTCCAAGAAAGAAGATAAGAACACAATCTCTCCAAGGGGTCATCGTTCTCTGATTCATGCCCAAAGGCCTATTAATGGGAGAGTGGATAAAACCGTTACTGATTGGTAAAGGATGAACCCATGACCAGTATGGTGGGTTCATACTTCACCGATATGCTAGAGTTTTCCGGGTTTTCTTTACATGTCTAACATTTAAACATGCCTTATCCCGTGAACCCAATCTATACCCATAAGATTAATCTTAGGTTCTTCAAAATGAAGAATGCAATGCCTCTTTTCGAGTCAAATAGAGATGTGCCCTCACCAATAACTTTCTGAAGTAACAGATCCTTCTTTCTAATGACTATAGGTGCAACATAACACGGTGTAAAAATTTAGAATAACAAGTTTTCTAGTAACTAGAAAATTCAGAATAATTAAACAATTCTTCAGAAATTATAATTACATTTAAATGAAGAGCGAATTTATCATGTATAAATACTAAAATTAAGCGCAAGACTGATTAAACTTTAGAAATAAAATTAACTAAAACATTAAGATGAAGAATTTAGCCTCTTAACAGAAAAATAATTTATTTACTAAATTTTACTTATGTTTACACATGAGATTTGAAATTTAGAACATAATAAATTTTCATTTTTTATGATATATATATATATATACTAATATTTTAATTTAAATATCTTTATATAAGCAAGAATATATTATAATAAATTTTTATTAATAATTAAAATTTATAGTCCTCACATATATTTTTGTTAATTAGCTTAAACTTGATACAAGTACTGTATATGCGATAGCCCAAAGAAGTTCTTTACTTTGCAAACTTAATTTACAAGAATTTGGATCAAATGTTGCTACGGTAATTTCGTGGCTTGTAGATACATGAATTTAGTTTAAAATAAGCAATAATATTTGTCTATCTTGCATAAAAAGTAAGATAATTAATTAATCTAGAAGCTTGATGTTGCTGAATTACAAATGGAAGGGATTAGTATAGTCGCCAAGTTTTAAATTCCCAATTAAATAAAATTAATTTGGTAATAAAAACTTGTTTTCGATGATAAATTTAAGGTTAATAATTTAAAAATTATAAATAAATAAATATATATTTTTTAATTGATGAGAGATAATAGGCCATCCTGAAGATACCATGTAATTGCAAAGTTAAAGAACTGGCCAAAATTTCAACAAAATTTGATTACTAGTCCCCAAATTCCTCTTTAAGATAATAATTTAGTAGTAATTATCTGACAAAATGTCTAACTATTACATTTTATTATCATTTACGAGAGTAATGATGTAAAATTTGTTGTAAGAATCAATTTTTGAAGTTTGCCATCCATGATATTAATTATACTGTCAGTTTACAGATTTGTCACATAGAAAAGCATTAATTTCTCTTGTTGAATAATAAGTTTATTGACAACGGGATGAAAAATTAACCATTTATCATAATTAAACAATTTTCTAACTATAAATTTCTACGAATAGTAATAAAAAAAGTACAAAGATATATTTAAATGAATTCTCCTTTATTTTGTGTACATTCAGAATATCAAGAAAGAAGAAAGCTTATTGAAACTTTCCTCTGATGAATACTGCTCACTCTGTAAAGGCAATAAACATTTCTACTGATTGATAAACTTAAACAACTAACGTTGTACTTGATATATTAAGAAACAGGAGCACATAGTCACAAGTTTTTTTTTGTTTTTTGGTTTCAGTCCCTCCAAAAAGTCTTTATTTTTAATGATTGGCACTCATAAAAGCTGAATCAAATAGCGTACTCTCGATGCTATTATATTAACAATGAGGTTTCGTCAATCTTAATATTCTTCAACACAAGTTCAATATCGTTGGCAGAGCCATAAATGTCACAAAATGAACATTGACACAATCAAAGAAGTTTAAGCTGTACAATAATCATACCATATATTATATTCTTCTTTTATTTTAATTCACTTTAAATTGGGCAGAGTGTGATTTTTTTGGCTAAATATATAATATATATATATATATATAGTTTTAGGACATAACTGGCACAAAACAGACAATCATGCCTAATATCTTCTCATGTCCAACAGATGAAAGATGATCCGTACTATAGCATTGGCACCATAATTAAGGACTATCTTGGGCTATTAGCAATAGATCTGTATCACTTGAATTTTTTTATTTATTTATTAAATTCTTAATTATGATTAAACCAAATTGAAAAAAATCACTTTACCAAATATAAACTGCCCTTTATTTTTTTTTCTTTCGGTTGTACTCGTAAATTTTCTCTTGGTTATTTTTTAATTAAATGTTTTATTTTATGCACATTCACAAATGCTGAATGTCCCTTCTTCATAATCTTTGACTTTTGTGTAAAAATTACAAACACATAACTCATTCGTTTCTCTTGCTCTCTCTCTCTCTCTCTTTCTTTTATTTATTTAATTTTTTTTATTTTATTAATTTTTTATGGTTTGTAATTATGTTCAGGCGCTTCAAAGTTGACACGAGTAGAACATTTTTATTAGCAGAAGAAAAATGCAAGAAATCACTTGATTTTCTGAATATGAAATATTGGTACTCTTATTGGGAGAATCTCGAGTTTCAGTCCTTCCCGTATCTGAAAAATAAAGGATGATTAATTAATTAATTATGTTTAGATTTATAAGAGATTTAAATGCTTATAAACTACATAAAGATTATGTCAAAAATCATTGGGTAACAAAGAGACGTGTTTTAAAATAGGCATCATTATGTTATTTTCGTCTCAAATATAATTTATAATTCTTCTTAAGCAATGACTTGCATGACTTTGATTATTCTTCAATATATAAAACCATAATAAATATTCTTGGATTTACAGTACACGATGTACCTGCATATCGCAAGCGATAATTAATTATAAATCAAAATTTGTACCATGCAAAGTCTTTTTAAAATCATCCATTATAAATGTTAACATGGATTCATGGATACAAACTTCTTTTATATTTAATTAACATTAGAAATTACATGATGCAATCATTCAGATTCTGATGATTCTGATTATCGTCTTCAGCTTGAATTCAACATGATGAGTCGTCATGGTAGCAGCATGGTTCCAAGATCAGCTAAATCCAAGGTGAATTTTGATCCAATACCAAATAGTTGTAAACTCATTAGACATAAATTTGGAACTTTACTGATTCTAAATATCTCAATTAATCATTGAAAGTTATGGTCGTGGTTCATCAATAGCCATAGTTGTACCTTCATCAATGTGTCATAATAATAGATACTGTACATCACAGATCTAACTTAATAAACCTTTGACATGCTAATACTTAAAAATAAAATGACTTATAACTTAAAATATTTTATAAATTGACAAAGGAAACAGCCAGAAACTACTTTGATCTTCACTAAACAGAATCGATAATTACTTTAAACAAGTAATAGGTAAATTATCATACCCTAAGGGCTGATCGAATTTCCGACAGATGAAGATAAAGGTATATAAAATTGTTTAAACTAATTATCAGAACGTTAAACAATTATGCCCTTTAAAGAACAAGAGAAATTATTATTCGTGTCCCCTAATTATACTCACTCACTGTCTAAAAATTGCATTATTCATAAATTTAATAAACAAAATAGTCTTTAATTAACTTAATTTTATTCTAAATCTATCAAAATTTGTTAAAAATTACTCGTTATAAAAGCATTTAATAAATTTTTATCACAGATTTTCTAAAAGAAGAAGAAATATCTGAAAAAGTATCTAATGTAAACTCCATTAAGTGAAAGGAAACTCAAAAGTAATCTCATTAATTTGCTTCATTTGATGCCAATTTAAAGCAATTCTATCCTATTAAAATTCTTTCTTGCCTTTATTTATATATATATACATACAAATATAATATATTAGTTTTAAAGAATAACAGAATGTAAATTTAATTAACTACTTTTAATCATTTTTTTCCTTGCTAAAAATGATTAAAGTTTTACTTTCTTTAACAATTCTTACTGATAAGAGTAATTTTTCTCATTTTTTATAATTAATAAAACAGATATAAGTAATAAAAGTGCACACTTTCCTTTTTACCTTTGTTATATCAAAATGTATATAAAATAATCGATAATAACACAAATTTATATAAATATCTTAATAATTCTAAGTAAATTAAATGTACATCTATTCCCAAATATAAACTTCGAACTTCATTAAAATAACCTTAACAGTTCTTTTTACGTGTGGCTTAATAATTTTCGAGTGCGGTAGATTTAATTTATTAAAACTTCATTTTTTTTCATTTACGTTTAAACTTACACAGCGAATATATTCTAATTAAAATTTTACTTTTTTTACAATATAAAAAAAGGTTGAAGGGATTTTTTTTTAGCAGGTATAAGTTCATAAAAGGTAAACTAACAACAAAAATTAAATTCAGAATATAAGAAAATATTTGTTAGAAGTACAAATTGACGAAGGCTTTCTTGGTTTAACAAAAAGAATCCATTAGTTTCGCTTCAGAGATTCCAGCTTTTACCTAAGCTAATTACTTTCGTATAAACTGCATCAGATATTCGTCATTTGGTCGTTCGAGTTCGATAATTAAGAAGATGCTATAGGTAACACCTTCATCTTCTCTCGCTCTTCTCCTCCTTTTCCTCCTCCTCCTCCTCCTCCTCCTCCTGTTCTTTTTTCTTCTTGTTTTTTTTTTTTGGATAAATCTCTCTGTTTCTTTGCTGCCTTCGGCACCCGGCCTTATAATTATGTGTCGCTAACCAGAAATACGATATTTTGGTGTGAATGGTAGCGGAAGTCACAGGATTAATTGAATAAGGGTATGGAAGCGGAAAAAAACTGATGCCATATCTTTGATGATAAAATCGGGACGACTGTAGTGGAAATCATATAACAACATATTTGTAACTACTAAAAACTATATCCTTGTTTGTGATTTTGTTGTTTCGTCTTATGAAAATAATCTTTTTACATTTCGCTTATTCAAAAAAAACATTGTAAAAGTTTAGTATGATTGATGTAGCGCTTGTTAAATTTTTTTTCTTAATTTCTTTCTTTTTTTTTTCTCTTAGGGAGAAATCGTGTGAGTCAGTCAGCGAGTGAGAGGGATGTGTTTTGTTGTCTTTAATTATTTTTTAAAATAATTTTTAAAAAGTTTCCACTAAAATAAACTTTACAAAGTTTTAAAATTTCCATATAATGAAAACAAATATATTTTTTTCATTATATATTTAAGATTTGATGCTTTAACTTGTAACGTTTCTCCTCATTTTAACTTTCAATTTATGTAATTCCTAAAGATAAAATCCTTCAAAAATTCCAAAAAATTAAGATTTTTCTCCATTTTTTTTTTCTTTACTAATTAACTACAATAGAGCCTCGATTATCCGACCCCCGATTAACCGACACCTCGGTTAACAGACCGTCCTAGTCGGCAAATTTCAAATGTCCGCTAGTGATATGGCGCTACAATATTTGGCTATGTCTTGGCTACTTTAATATTATTTTTACGTGTTTTAGCTGGCAACACTCATTCGACCATGAAAGGGAGCCAGTANTATCTCATCCGTATTTGATATATTAACATAAAATTTGCATAATTATGCCTCCTAGTTCATGTATATTACTTCTTAACATGTAATACGGGCTTGGGTATCCATGATTTGTTGGTTGTATGAGCGCTCTTCTTATATAGATGTTTTATGAGAAAGTAATTTGTTCTCTGCATGTAGTCGCTATATCATGACGGAAATAGCCCGTTTTTTTTCTTGTTACTTCCTGCTATTTTCTTTATTTTTCTCCTTTTTTCTTACCCTGTGTTTTGCTATCCAGGTAATCGAACCATTATAGTATCTAAGCAACATGATGTGCAACAGATTCTAGTGAAACAAATTGTGATTTTTTTTATTTATTTTATATTATATAATTACAGTATTTTCATATGAGAAAGCGTCATTAATACGCAATTGATAACGAAGAAGAAATAAATTTGCAGAAACGCTATTTAACATTGATTAGAGATGATCATTTTGAATAAAAATTAATTTTATTCAACCTATTAAAAGTGGAAAATTGTTTTAAAAATGCATTCGAAAACCAACAAATAAAAGGATGCAAGAATCTTAGGAAGATGTAGAGAAATCGGAAGCAGTATAAATGAAGAACAACTCATACAAACTATGTAAACTGATATCGAATACTGCATTCGTCATATTGAACAAAGAATATTCTTCAACACTAAAGTTTTCAGTTGTTGCTACTTTTTTTCCCAGTTGAATTTCTAGCATCTTCTCTGAAGGTTAATCTCTCAGGAGTGTCTACGAGATGCAACTTAAAATAAACGATCGCTCCTGCTAAACGATGGATGGAAAATCTTTAAGAACTGACAAGAATTGAAAAAACTTACTAGCTTAGCATACTTAGAATATTTTATTAACATTTTTGATCCTCACAATAAAGAAATGTTTTTATTTTCTAAGAAATTAAGTAATCTATTAAATAAAATTAATGATTCAAGTAAGATTTAATAAGACATGCAAAGAATTTTAGGAGGATCTTTTCTATTTTTGTAGCTTCAAAAACAAGTCTAAACAATGGAAAAAGTAAATATATATGTTGAGAAATAATAAAGTTTTAGACCCTTCTAGTAACGTATCTAGATAAAAATTGGAAAAAATTGTAAGATTCCTCCGTAAAATTGAGCACTCTGCAAAATGCCAAATGGCGTGATAAAATATATTTACAAAAATATAGTTTAACCGCCATAAAAAATTATATACATAAAAAACTCTCTTCTATAAGTGCTTAGATCGATCATAAACTTCTTTCTATATATACTGTTTATATACTTTATGTGGTTTTAGAAAATCCCTATATTTTCATTTGTCTGAAGAAACCTTAAATTATTCGCTTTATAAACATTAAGATCAATACTTTTAATATGTACTTCTTTATTAAGCGTAGTAGAGAATAATTTAAAGAAAACTGAAAAAAAAATTAAAAGCGTTATCCAGCAAAAATATCATGAATATAATAAACAGAAATCGATAGTTATTTGTGAAATTATTAAGGAAAAAGAACGAAATAAAATCGCATGGCACACGAGGAGCAACCAATCTCTCACTCTAAGCTTCTACGACAGATGGTGAGAAATAAACATTCGGTGCTGTTTCACTAGAGATGATGATATCAGGCATTAAGTGGATAAGTGTCATCCTCAAAATAAATACCTGGGAATTTCAAGATGGATTAAAATTGACGCCAACAAGTCCAACTGGCGTGCTCTTTCTCGCTTTGGGCAATCCATCTATATGTTTGCATGTCATCCAACTTCCCAGCATGACATATAACTTCCCCCCTACTTTTTTTCTGTTTCTTTCTGTCTAAGTTCTTTTCTTCTGTACTTTTTAAGCCTCCTGCTATTTTTTTTTTTGGATAAATCTCTCTGTTTCTTTGCTGCCTTCGGCACCCGGCCTTATAATTATGTGTCGCTAACCAGAAATACGATATTTTGGTGTGAATGGTAGCGGAAGTCACAGGATTAATTGAATAAGGGTATGGAAGCGGAAAAAAACTGATGCCATATCTTTGATGATAAAATCGGGACGACTGTAGTGGAAATCATATAACAACATATTTGTAACTACTAAAAACTATATCCTTGTTTGTGATTTTGTTGTTTCGTCTTATGAAAATAATCTTTTTACATTTCGCTTATTCAAAAAAAACATTGTAAAAGTTTAGTATGATTGATGTAGCGCTTGTTAAATTTTTTTTCTTAATTTCTTTCTTTTTTTTTTCTCTTAGGGAGAAATCGTGTGAGTCAGTCAGCGAGTGAGAGGGATGTGTTTTGTTGTCTTTAATTATTTTTTAAAATAATTTTTAAAAAGTTTCCACTAAAATAAACTTTACAAAGTTTTAAAATTTCCATATAATGAAAACAAATATATTTTTTTCATTATATATTTAAGATTTGATGCTTTAACTTGTAACGTTTCTCCTCATTTTAACTTTCAATTTATGTAATTCCTAAAGATAAAATCCTTCAAAAATTCCAAAAAATTAAGATTTTTCTCCATTTTTTTTTCTTTACTAATTAACTACAATAGAGCCTCGATTATCCGACCCCCGATTAACCGACACCTCGGTTAACAGACCGTCCTAGTCGGCAAATTTCAAATGTCCGCTAGTGATATGGCGCTACAATATTTGGCTATGTCTTGGCTACTTTAATATTATTTTTACGTGTTTTAGCTGGCAACACTCATTCGACCATGAAAGGGAGCCAGCATTTAAACGAGGCTTAATTTTCTAATTTTTAATGATACAATAGCGACGATTATTATTTTAAAAAATTTTTGTTAGGCTTAACGTCGATGAAAATTCAACGCGAAGTAGCTTAATAGCGATATACTAATATACTAATTACATGAGATATAATAATATACTACAATCATAATGGATTTTTTCATACTTTTCGGTTATCCGACTTTTCAATTATCTGACCAACCCCAGTCCCCAATTGAGTCGGATAATCGAGGTCCTACTGTATATTCCTGTGTTTTTAATAAAACACAACATATTTTTGATTTTTTTCAGAGCAATCTTTTAATATCGCTGAAAAATGGCAGTTCTGACTTATTAATTATATNCAACATTTAATTTATATTTTTTTAATATTTAAGCATTTAAAATTAATTAGTCGACAAGAAAAGGAGTTAAAATAATTAAATTTAACAATTTTTATATGCTTTAATATATTCATTGTATAATTTATTACAAAAATTTACGATAAATCTTCACGAAGAGATTAAAAATATATGAAATTTTTTATATTTTGTACTTATAATTTATTAAAATAAAAATTTATTTCTCTGGTTTTAGCATATATTATATGTTCAAATTATTCTAAATTATAGTAAAGAAAAAAAATAATTAAATTTACATTCGTAATAAACCGTGTAAAGTACTAGAATATTTAAGATTTGAGTATATAATATTTATTTTTTGCTATTAACCACACGCACTTTATTCTCTTAATTCATTCTAGCAAAGAACTGTCCAACAATAAAATCTGACAAATATGCAGAGAAATAAATCTATAAATTATTTTAAAAAGGGGAAAAAATGGTAAAGAAAAAATTATAAATTCATATATTTAGCTTAAGAGATAAAAAACTAAATAAATAAATAAATAAACTTTACAATTTCTTTTATAAAAATAATATTAGTATGAATAATTTATTTGTTCTTTAAATTTGCAACTGCTCTTATCTTTTAATTCTTTAATAAAAAATTAGGGTAGAAAACATTTTTTTGGGGGTTCATTATTAAAATTTATTTTTTTTAAAGCGTTTAAATATTTAAAACAAGATAGCGCTCAGTCATTTCTTTCTTAGCAACAGAAGAAGGAAATTTAAATTTTCTAAAGAAAAAGACAATTGAGAAATTGAAAAAAAGACAAATAAATGCACAGAGGCTATTGACCTTATGAAACGTTTAAGCTAATTGAACAACTTTGCCAAAGTACTACCAAGATTGGAAACTGGCCAAATACTTTCTTTCCTTCATCTTAGATGCCAAATGTATAGCAGTTTATATCTTTTAAATTTAGATTCGTTTCATACTATTTCTAGAAAGTTTATTGTCCCTCATACATTTTGCATATCTATCATAAACCCACCAGACTATTGTCTGTATACACCGAAAGACGATAATTCAAAAGCCATCTAACATTTTCCAATGACAATGGAAATTTTATGGTTTCTTCATGCCAGATGACTGAATGTCATAAACGTGCAATGCTTACTTTATTATTTATATGATAATTATTTCACTAACTATCCTTTATCTAAATGAAAAACCAATTAGGTAGCGTCGAGCTAAGCGACCTGCGACGCGACGCGAAGCGTCAAGGCCAAATGAAAGTCAAATGAAGGTCAAATCTTTATGACCGTTATTTTTCCGCACCTTTTAAAATTGAAATTTAAAAATTACTATTTAATATTCGTAAAATATTGGTCCAAATTAATTAATAAACCTAGATTAATTTCTAGAAATGATAATCTACAAAAACTACCCAAACTAACCTAATTTAATTTTTAATGGACATTTTAACTGTAATAAAATATTTACTACCTTGTGCTGCTAGATCGTGTCCTGCAGCGGACGGCACGAATCCTACACTGGTTTCTACTCCAAAAACTTCTCCTGATATTTCGGACTTTTTCACTAGAAAAGAATTTAGTTTTCTATATTAAAAAAAAATAAAAAGGAAAGAAAAATCGATATACAGTAGCCTAGTTACAAAAATATTTGATAGTTCTTTGAAAATCCAAACTAATTTATTGCATCATTGATCACAGTTGCACTACACTCATTGAAACATTATCATTCTAATTCTAGTAATGTTTCCAGAATGGCTAAATATCTTGTTGACATATCGGGAATTTTTTGAGATAATAAAACATTACAAGCAGCAGTGGCCAATATTAAATAACTATCCAATTTAAAATCTGCACAGATCTAATGTTTTCGAGAATTATGCATGATCGACTTACCTCCCCCCACTGACTGACTCATTATAAAGAATATAATTTTTTCCTATTTTTCCCCCTTGTTTAAAAAACAAGCGAATTTTTTTCTACCTATTTTCTTTAGTTAAAAACATGTCCAAAATAATTTATATTTATAAAACATTTGTTTAAGAAGCCATTTGCAAGCTAAATTGAACATGAAATTAAGCAGGAAAGAGTAAACTAAAGCATACCATCATTTCCATCTCTCGTTTGGGAAGTCTGCCATGTGCCAATGACTATTTTTTCACTGCTTGTCTGTTGTGTACCTAATAAAAACAAGTAGTAATTCTAATTAACATATTTTATTCTCGAATTTCTCTTATTTGAATATTTATTTATCCATTAAGTTAATTAAATAAAGAGTAATATATTTTATAAAAAGAAAAATGAATTTACCTTCAGTCTTGCTTCCAGCATACGTTATCCTTGGTGTTGTTGAGGACATGGGTCGAGGAATTTCTAAATGAGAACGTAGAATAATCAATAAATGTATGTAACAACCCACACGACATTTAATCTATCATCATTCTGCTTATATCTAACTTGCACAAAGCGCGTTACGACCCCCTCCCCCTAGTTACATTTTTATATTGTAAGCCATTTTTCAAAATGTTTGATATACAGTACAACAAATCCACTAAGGGATAGACTATGCTTGTACTGTCACGTGAAGCCAACCTTTTACAACTCACTCTCTGCAACGTTGACCACTTGAAAGACAACGTTCGACCCGTTTATGGTGAAGTCACCAGAGAGATCCACATAAATGCACCTGATAACATTCATCATATCGATATGTTACGCTATCAGGATGAATGCTACAATAAACTTTAAATAGTTTGTTGTACAAATTTAAATTTAATAAGTATTTTTTTGACTATTTATCGAGGGGAAATTACGGATTACTCAATTATAATCAAGGATTGCAATTAAAGTTATGTTAATGAGGCAAATTTAATGCTAATATTTGTATGTAACATCATATTTATATCCTAATGATTAAGTAGTAATGGAATTCAGTTAATCATTAAGTCCACGTGGATTCATTTAGATCCATTGGGATCTAAACGATATAATCTTACATATATAGATTTTATGCATAATGTTTTACTAACTACGATATAATATTAATAAAATTCTTATAATTAACCAACTTTTCTGGCATGTAATAATTAAAATTTGAAGAAGATTTAACTCAATAATCTTAATTTAAATTAGCATTTTTATGTCAATTAATTCAAACTACAGCACCAATTATCATTACCTAATGAGCTCATTTTAATAAATGTGATTAATACTCATTAATTAACATCATTTTGATCACTTAAATTATTACAATGTGATTAAATTAGCTTAAGAATTAAAAATTTACACGTTCATACAAGGGGAAAATAAATATATATGCTCATAAATACTTTACGAGAGAATATACTCGAAGAATCCATTCATAATTAATGAAAAATATTCTTTAGTTTCATACTTTAATTTTTTATCATTAGGTATCATAAAAATTTAACTAATCTACATTATAATTAAGTTATAAAATGTTTATTAAAGTAAACGTACCGTATAATCTGATCGTGCCTTCAGTTTCCCCAAGGGAATTTTTTGCCACACACAAATAGGATCCAAAGTCATCAGGACGGAGATTCCGTATACGAAGTTTCATTTGAACTTTATATATACCCGTGTCAATTATCATAGAATCGTACTTATTGTTTGATAATATCATGGTTCCTCCACGTGTCCAGAAGGTTATCGATCTTGGAAATGACTCCAAATTACAATCAAGAGTGACTTCAGTGCCTAAAGGTGCACCTATCAGTTGATTAGGAATCCATATCATAGGAGCAACTGTAGATGAAAATTAATTTTAAAAAATACTGTTAATTATTACATTAATTAATAAGTATTTTTGTAAATTATATATACAGTTATACGTTCGGGTGGTACATTGCAGCATTTTTTTACGTTTTTTAGCTCTGCAAAATTGAATTTTGACGCTATATACCCGAATTTATATTAAAATATTAAAGAAGTATACGTATATTCCTATATTATAAAATTATTATTAGGATATATTCATATAAAAATGTATAATTTATCATTATACTTGACAAACTTATAAAGAAATCAGTTGAGATGTATAATACCTGAATTAATGTAAACAATAATAAATTATGTTAATTATCTCATCCGTATTTGATATATTAACATAAAATTTGCATAATTATGCCTCCTAGTTCATGTATATTACTTCTTAACATGTAATACGGGCTTGGGTATCCATGATTTGTTGGTTGTATGAGCGCTCTTCTTATATAGATGTTTTATGAGAAAGTAATTTGTTCTCTGCATGTAGTCGCTATATCATGACGGAAATAGCCCGTTTTTTTTCTTGTTACTTCCTGCTATTTTCTTTATTTTTCTCCTTTTTTCTTACCCTGTGTTTTGCTATCCAGGTAATCGAACCATTATAGTATCTAAGCAACATGATGTGCAACAGATTCTAGTGAAACAAATTGTGATTTTTTTTATTTATTTTATATTATATATATATAAGACAATTATTATAGAAAGATATACGATACTTCTAAAAAATAGAACATTAGTAATTTAATTTTATTAATTTTTTTCCTCTAATTCTATTATTTTCTTTGTCTTCTTGTTATCCTGTTTCTCCACCCATTGTAATATGATCTAAGCAACAGATTTTCTGGTATGGTATTAAAAATGCAAAATTGTACTTTTTCATATTGTAAACATAAAAAAAAATCGTAGAAAATGCAACAGAATCCTTCTTTGATACGCGCTTTACGGGGGTGTATGCATTAAATTACTTCCATAAATTGAAAGAAACTTTATTATTTTTATTTACTTTATTCTTTTTTCTTCTTACTATTTTATGCCATTTTCTTTATTTTATTTCTATTTTTGTTCCTCATACCTTGTGTTTTGCTACCTGTAATAGTCCCTAATCAACGTAACGTGCAATGGAGTCCAGTAAATATTGCAAACTGCACTTTTTACTATCGCAAAAAATACAAAAATAAATTGAGTAAAAATACAAAAAATTCAGTAAAAAATACAAGAAAATCTACCTTTCGCTACGTGCTTTACGAAATGTATGTATATATTATATTAATATACTGGTACTGTACAGGCAAGAAGATTATCATTCAAGAAAGATATACGATGCTCCAGAAACTAAAGCTTCATTAAATTAATTTTTTTAAAAAGTTAATGGAAATTTTTTGTGTTTTTTACTTTTCTATTAAATATTTTAATCTTTTAATAATATATATATATATATATCCTTTGCTAAAATAAAGAGAAAAATTCTGAAGGTAGCTACTACATTAATCGTCATACCATTAACATCATCAAGAATCATCAGAGGAGAAGAAAGTAAAAGAAAATAAAAAAAAAAAAGTAGGGAAGTAAATGGTAAGTATGTAAATTATAATCTTAACTTTCGTAATGTTAAATTTAATATTCCAAAAATAAGAATTTTAATATTTTAAAACGAAAATAAAGCAAAAAAATAATGCCAAGTTTGTTGTGTGTTGCATTTGATTAAATGGTTCATCGCGTATGATAATGAAGGGATTTATATATATAATAATTTTTCCAAATAAAATTATTTATACATAAAAATATATAATTTTATTCAATTAGTCATAAAAATTCTTAAAATAAAAATATTTATTTTCTACATTTGTAAAATTCAAATTTCTTTATCTCTTCGTCTGTCGTGAACTACTTGTTGATAACTTAACCTTAGATATAATACATTACTGTTATTTTCAACCTTAAATAAGCCTTATATAATATTATATAAATAAATATATTTAATAGTAAACACATATACATAGATCTATAATAATTCATTAAAGTAAAAGCTTTACATCAGTTGTATATATGTAATTAGTAAAGTTTATCTACATTAATTCAATATATTAATATATTATGACATATATATGATAATAATAAATTTATATATAAACTATTATATAAAGTTACATGAATTAAATGTATACCGTTTATGATATACATTTATTATATAATCTTATAATAAGGATAACTTGGTTTTATGAGTGTTCAAACTTGCATAGGGTCAAGATATATATTCTAAGTCTGAAATTATAAATAAAATATTTTAATGTTGTATATTTGTTATTTAACTAAATATATTATTTTTGGAAAACATTTATTTTATATTTATATTAATATAGAGCAAGTATACTGATATTATTATATCCTAGAAACATAGTTATGAGCTATTGTAATTTGTGTTTATATTTATGCAATAGTATATTCAATACACATATTTCTGAAATATCATAATTAATATTTGCATTTATGCAACAATTATTGTTCCATAAAAGTAACAGGGTATAAGTTAATACACTGTTTATACACTTATGCAGCATTCGATATTTACGTTAATTATGCAGTTGCATGCTTATTGAGCGCATAGGAAATAACATAATCGAAGTAATAAGTAATAATAAGTAGTACTGAATATACAAGTGTATATACTTATGCAACAATAAATTATATATATTTATAGATTAACAGTAGAGAAAATAATACAGCAAGATTAGTAGATTAATACAACAGCATTGATGCAGCGATTAAACTCGTACATTTTATGTAGTAGAGCATAAAAAATCAACTGTTTTTACTATAAAACATCAATAAAATCACCTTTTTGTTCTATTGTTACTATAGAAGTTCCGTGAAAGTAGAAGAAGAAGATGCAGCAGCAGCAGCAGAAGAAGTAGAAGTAGAAGAAGAAGAAGAAGCAATCATTTTTTTCGACAAAACAAATTTAGTTTTTTTTATGTTGTATTATTACTGTACTACATTATTTCTAGACCATTACTGCTACAGTATGAGAAGATAAAAACAAAACAGATTCCTTTACTGTTATCGAAATTTGTTGCTGTAGTAGTTCACTAACTAAGATAAAATATGGTATAATGTTTTGTATAAAATAATTTATATATATATATAAGGGACTTATAATTATAAAATATTGTTACTAAAGTAGCAAATTATGTTATACACGAACCATTAATTAAAGTAAAAAAATATCACAAGAGCTTACTCTATTCTTCTTTGTTGGTATTTTACATCGTCGATAATTACCTTAAATTTCTTTAATATTATATATTTTTTTATTGCATAAATCGATAAAAGATTTTTTAAATCGAAGTTTTTAATTAAATTTTTAAAGAATAAAAGGTTTTTTTTTTAAATAATTATTTTTTAAAAAGAAAAGCAAAGAAAACATACCAAAGAAGAAGAGACGTGTGTCTTAAGAAACAAAATTTTCATACTAATCTAATAATGAATGTATCTTTTTTAATTATGCTAATATAGTGATAAAAATAGTAAGTGGTTAAGCAAAAATTTTTCTTAAAATTCCAAAAATAAATTAAGAATTTAAAGTATACTTTTTATTTTAAGAAAAAATATTCGAAAATAAAAATTATTGTGACAACGTTGCGATGCCGGGCTGCAATTTTTAATTATAGCACTAGTAAAATCCAGACCAGATATGTAAATTTTAGGGACTAGTACTACAAGATTCACATATCTGGTCTCGATTTTAGTAGTGTCTTTCCCCTGTAAATCATACTCCTCCCGATAACAATCGAGTCAGGCCGGTCATCTATCTTACTCTGTTCTGGAGAAAAATTTGAATTAAAATCACATGACTTCCGCTCCAGACAGGAACTTCCTGTATAGTTAATCTGGCCCTCCTCATCTTATCTTTCTACACATAATCTAGATTTTTATGTACCTATCTCAGTTGTCGAAATTAAGAGAGGACAGACAAAGAGACGGAGGACGACACTTGGAATGTATAGGTCTGCAGTTTGAAAGCTGCAGTCCGAAAATCATAAAAATATATATATTTTTTTAATTCCATTAAAACACTATAAAATATTATTGATTCCACTGAAATTTAATTTATATAAAAATAAAATAATCTTAAATAATAAATTTTTAAAAGTTTTTAATGTTAAAAATATACTTTTAAGAATTATATAAAATTACTGTAGCCGAATTTTTTTTTTTTTTGTTTAAATACGAAAGAGGAAAGTTTACAACTATTTTTCTTAATTCTACTGAAATGCAGCTACAGAATTAATTCTAATAAAATTTAATTTATATAAAAATACAATAAATAAAAAGTAATAATTTCTAGACTTAAACGTTTAAAATACATTTAAAAAATTAAAAATAATCTACATAAAATTAAATTTGTAGAAAGAGAGAAAAGTTTAGAAAGAAGCTCTTGAACTGAATTTTTTAAATGATTCTTCTGAAATTAAAATAAAGTGTAAAATATCAATTAAAGTAACAACTTTTAAGGCTTTTTAACGTTAAAAATTTATTATAATAGTTTAAAAAATTATTTAAAATAATCATAATTTAAGGCTTTTATATTTAAAAAAATTATATAATTAGATTTATTGGGCTGAGATTTTCAAATTGCACACCTATACATTTCCATTGTCGTGTGTCTGTGTCTGTCCTTTGTTAATCTCGAAAACGGAATTAGATAGATGAAAATCAAGACAAGATATGAAAAGCATGGAGGTCTGGAGCCCTAATTATTTAGAGATAGACCGGAAGCCTATAGTTTAATTTAAAAATTTGCGAAACTTCCGGTCTAGACCGGAAGTCACGCAAATTTTTAAATTAAATTACGATTAAACCTTGCATTTTAGAATTATAACAATATGACAATAATATACATTCGAATTTTATTATTATTTTATTTATTTATTTAATTTTTGGAGGGAAAAGAAGAAAATTTAATTTGCTTTTTAAATATA